GATCAGGGCTTCAACGTACGAACTTGAGGAGGTCATAGTTCAACTCATAACAGAACCTTTGATTCATTTCTCATGGACATGGGGTAGGGGTAGGATAAATGGGGCAGGAAAATGTTTTTTTAAAAAAAAATTAATGCGATTATTCTTCCAGCCTTATTGTTCAAACAAGAGCATTCATAATCTTACATTTCAAGAGAGTGGGTGAAAAATAATGTAAACATAGAATTTTCTTTTCAGTCTCCCATTTCTTAAAGTTTGGCAAGCTTCATAACCCTGGAAATCTTGAGAAGCGACCTGAAAATGTTATTTTTGTTTTCTTTTTCTTCTTTAAATCTTAGCCCAAAGCGAGGGTGATCTCTAGGAACAATAACCGAAGAAGAAACTAAATGAAGAACAGTTAGCCTGAGTCTTGGGCCCACGAGAGGCAGGAAGTGACTTGGTGTCTCCGAACAGCAGTCATGCTGGGCTTCCCTGGAGGCTCAGCTGGTAAAGAATCCACCTGCAGTGCAGGAGACCTGGGTTCCATCCCTGGGTAGGAAGATTCCCTGGAGAAGGAACGCCTACTCACCCCAGTATTCTGGCCTGGAGAATCCCGTGGACAGAGGAGCCTGGCAGGCAACAGTCCATGGGGTTGAAAAGAGTTGGACATAACTGAAGCTACTTTCACTCATGTTTAATTAGGCAACCTCCCCCCCCGCCACACACAGCCTCATTAAACCCAAGACGCCACCTACAAGCTGGGCGCTCAGAGGCCAAACCCATGGAGAAAGGTGCAGGAAAAAGTATCCAGCAGCACAGTGGGGTGGTGAGGAAGCTGGTGTGTTTCAGCCTGGCCTCCGGATGGAGAACAGCATCTCCTTGAGAATTTGTAACTGCAGGTCTGCCTTTACATGGGCAGTCTGTTCAGATTTACACTGTTTGGTCTTTCCTGTCCTGAGAAATCAGATGTAAAAACAGTTTCCTGCTGCCCTAACTCCTGGTTTGACAGAAGCATGCACAGCATCTCTCCAAGGGGTGCTGCCTAGACCACCCCCAGAGGATCCCCACATATAGAGGCTCACTGAAGACATTCCCCCCAAACGAGCCAGATTCAGAAAAGCAAACAGTGGGGGCGAGACTCCTGATAATAAAATAATTACATAGGACTTCTCTGGTGGTACAGTGAATAGGAACCCCCCTGCCAATGCAGGGAACACTGGTTTCATCCCTGGACCAGGAAGATTCTGCATTCTGTGAAGCGACTGAGCCTGTGCCCCGCAACTTCTGAGCCGAGCTCTGGAGCCTGTGAACAGCAGCTCCTGAGCCCATCCTCCACGTGAGAAGTCACCTCCATGAGAAGCTTGTGAACCACAGCTAGAGAGGTGCACAGCCCCAGCTAGAGAAAGCTTGTGGGCAGCAACAAAGACCCAGCACAACCAAACTGAAACTAAAAAAATTAGATACACAACCACAAGACAAGCATGCCTAAAATGGTTAAATATATAAAAGAACCAAAAACATGGGAAACAACTAAAGTGCTCTCAAATAAAGACCAGATGAATTCGAGGGGGGAAATGCTTTAGAAATGAAAGGATAAAATGATTGGAATCAAAATCAGGATAATTACTGCTACTTCAAAAATTTTCAGGATGAAGTCAGATTTTTGAGAGAATTACTGGACAGGATTGTATTTCTTTCCTAACAAATAGAATATCCCCATGGAAAAGAAGTGGTAGTGGCAGCAGGGAGAGTCTCATCCCAAACCCAGACCCGCAGATGTGTCACTAAATACAGTATTTTATTTCTCGTACCTCTGCTTTACCTTCCTCTGAGTGAGTGCCTCTGTGTACCACTGGCCATGCTGCAGCCATCAGCAGCTTTCTGAATTCTCCCAGGGAAACCAAAAACTAATAAATCTGACGTGTATAAACCTCAAAGTGTCTCACATTCTCCTTCCTGTTTGCAGCATCACAAAGAAAGCAGTCCTGAGCTTTCCTAATTCAGCAGGGTCCAACTTAACTTTGGCTTTACCAACTCAAGCGACATGAGTTTGAGCAAACTTCAAGAGATAGTGAAGGACAGGGAAGTCTGGCATGCTGTAGTCCATGGGGTCACAGAGAGTCGGACATGACTTAGCAACTAAACAACAAGAACAACTTAATTTGAAACACTGGAGGAGGTGGGCTGACCAGCTGGCTGTACTTTGTGATCGGAGCAGGGCTGTGGCAGAACGTGGAGTGGCTGTCCTGGGGCAGGGCAGGGAGAGGGGGTGGCTAGGTTGAGGGGTGGATAGTGCTGTGAGCCCCATATACGAGCCCTGGACAATGAGCTCAGTTAGCAAAGTCTGCTTTCTGTTAAGTGCTGGGAAGCTGCTGTGCACCTCTGTCTTAATCTGTTTGGGCTGCTACAACTGAATACCGTCAACTGGTGGCTGTAAACAATGGACATTCTCACCATTCTGGAGGCTGGAAGTCCAGGGTCAATGCAACAGCAGATTCAGTGTCTGGTGATGTCCTGCTTCCTGATTCACAGACAGCTGTATTCTCTGTCCTCCCTGGAAGAAACGGTGAGGGAGCTCTCAGGGTTCTCTTTAGGAGGATGCTAATCCTGTTCATGAGGGCTCCACCCTTATGACCTAAGTGAAAAGAAAGGAAGAAAGTGAAAGTTGCTTACTCATGTCTGACTCTTTGCGACCCCATGGACTGTAGCTCCCCAGGCTCCTCTGTCCTTGGAATTCTCCAGGCAAGAATGCTGGAGTGGGTAACCGTTCTCTTCTCCAGGGGATCTTACCAACTCAGGGATTGAACCAAGGTCTCCTTCAATGAAGGCGAATTCTTTACCATCTGAACCACCAGGGAAGCCTGATGACCTAAGCACCTTCCAAAGGCCTCACCTCCAAACAGCGTCACTTTGGGAGATAGGATTCACAGCTTCTCTTCTCATCTAAACTCCTCCAGCTTAGGACGTGGCTCTTAACCCCTTTCTGGAGATGAAGCATTGAGACTGTGAGCAGCTGACTACTCTGAGACCATGCAGCTGAGGACATGGAGGGACTTGCTGACCCTAAAACACAACCCTGTCAACTGCCATGTGACACTGGCTTTTGGAAATAAGGCCGGCATTTCCAAGCTTTATCCTGTGGAATACAGGAGTCCTAAAGGATGATAACCAGCATTACTGGGGAAGGGGGGATGTTCTGTGGTCAAATACACTTGGGAAAGATGGCACACTCTGTGTGCCCACATGAAGCTTACAGCACATGCTGAAGGCAGAATATCTGTCTTGAGGAAAGCCACTTAATTTGTTCAAACTAGCTCTTTCCACACTTGCTAGATCCTAGAATCTCCATTTTTGTTGCTGCTTTTTCTCTTGCGAAACAGCATTAACATTAGTTATAAGGAGATACAAATCAAACTATAATAAGACACCACACCTTCTAGAACAACTATAATTAAAAAGAAACACCATAACAAGTGTTGGTAAGCATGTGGAGAAATTGGAACCCCCACTGGTTGGAGTGTAAAACAGTGCCATGGCTTTGGAAAGCATTTGAAGATCCTTCAAAAGGGTGACTGTGGGATTACCTATGTCACTCAACTATTCCACTCCTACATATGTACCAAGGAAATAAGGGTATAAGTCCATGTGGCCATACAAAACTTGTACATACACAGTCGTTCATAACTGCTTTATTCCCAGTAGCCAAAATGTGGGAAAAGCGCAACTGACCATCCACAGATGAGTGGATTGTAAAACGTGGTCTGTCCATGCCGTGGAGTATTATTCAGCCATGAAAAGGAATGAAAGGACTTCCCTAGTGGTCCAGTGGTTGGGACTTTACCTTCCAAATGCAGGATGTGCGGGTTCCATCCCTGCTTGGGGAACTGGGATCCCACATTTCTCGAGGCCAAAAGGCCAAGATGGAACAAAGACAGTATTGTAACAAATTCAATAAGAACTTTGAAAATGGTCCACATCCAAAAAAAAAAAATCTTTAAAGAAAAAAGGAGTGAAGTACTGACGTGTGCTACAACATGGACAGACCTTGGAAACGTTATGTAAGAGAAAAGTCTTGTCATCAAAGGCTGTATATTTTATGATTCCATTTATGTCGAATGTCCAGAATAGGCCAGTGCAGATGACTGGTTGCTAGGAGCTGGGGGAGAGGAGGGATTGGAGAGGGACCTTTGATGGGTTTCTGTTGAGGGTGATCATCCTGTTTGACAATGATGGCCACAGTTGTGCAACTCTGAATATACACAGAGCCACTGAACTGTACACTCTTAACTAGGGGGACCATATCGTATGTGAGTTATATGTCCATAGGCTGTTTTTTAAAAATGAAATTAACTTCTGCCAACCCTAGGGTTTCACAACACAGTCCGGGAAAGGTCGTCACCAGAGCGGGCTCTGTGGCTGTGACACGGCCGATGTCCTGTGTCGCCTGAGGCTGTATCCCCATCAGAGCACCATTGGCATTTGAGAAAATGTCCCCAGCAGGGATGGAGTGGCCGCTGCAGCATCGCGAAACTGTACAAAACCTAAAAGCAGGCGGCCGCTTTCTCCATGTGGCTTGTACTCTGGCAGCACCGCTGCTCTTACCCACTTGAAAGGAGACCAGACACACGGACGAGCCTTGGAAAGTGTCTGAGTGGCTCCAGAGTACGAGACAGGGCTGAGTGTCCTGTCATACTGAATCTCCCCCAGTAGTGCTGGGGCTTCGATGCAGGTTCAGTCCCTGGGTCGGGAGGATCCCCTGGAGAAGGAAATGGCAACCCACTCCAGTATTCTTGCCTGGACAGAAGAGCCTGGCTAGCTACAGTCCACGGGGCTGCAAAGGGTCAGCTGTGACTGAGTGACTCAAGAACGGCAATAGTAGCACTATTCTCTGTGATGAATCGCTGTCACTGCCAGCTGGTTTGGACCTGGGGCCACGGGACAGCCACACACCTTCGAGTAGCTCCCCTGCCATCTGGTGGTTGTGTGTTCACACTGTTCACACCCCTTTGTCTTCATTTCAGTGAAAGCTGGTGGGATGCGAATTGTGCAGAAACACCCGCATTCTGGAGACACCAAAGAAGAGAAGGACAAGGACGACCAGGAGTGGGAGAGCCCCAGGTAGGCAAGTTCTGGATTCACAAGTCACCTTTATTCAGTTAAACATTAGCGCTTGTTCTCTGCTGCATGCTTCCGATAGACCCTGGGCTCCTGGGGCCCTGTGCTGTGAGCTTTTCCCCTCCTGATCAGTGAGGAGGGGGTTCTATCCCCCAGACAGAGGAGAAACAGGACAGCTAGAGCATGCCTTCCTCCTTTGCCCCGAACAAATCTAAGTGGATTCATCCGTCTTTGGGCAGAAGCCCTCCACCACCACATTAAAATCACCCACAGACCTTTGAAAATGCCATTCTAGTTGAGTCTCTGGGCTGTCAGGGCAGAGAACCAATGATTTAAACAGTGTTCACAAGTGTTAGGATTTTGCCAGTTTCAGCCAAACCTTGAATCACCGAGGCCACACCCTGATGAGTGACCGAGTGCCCTTAAACAATGTCTTTGCCCCCAGATCCCTGGGTCCCCGAAAGCTCACCTTCCTACAACACCACCATCTCTGTTTACACCTGCTTTCCTGGCAGGTTCTGATGTCAAGTTTGGTCCAAGGACCTTGATACAAGCCCGTCTCCTCCCACCTGTAACACACATTCAGTGCCCACCTGTCTCTGAGCCGATCCCCAGAAAGAGAAGTGAACACCAAGCTTTGCACCTTGTCACTCATCACTTAAGCTTTGCACCTTGTAACTCGTCTCTGGCCGAGTCTCAGCCAGAGGGAAACGGAGTGTGGAGAGCAGCCAGCGCATGTTTGTGCATTTCATTCCAGCAGTCCTGAAGAGCAGGTGGAATGCTCCCCACGTTACACATGGGAGACTGAAGTCCACAGAGGTCAATGCTTGCGACACTGAGCAGGGATGAACCCCACGCCTGGGGTTCAGAGCAGGCCAGGCTTCCCAAAGGATAGCTCCTGACAAGAGGCGCCCCCCAAGAAGGATGAGCATGGGTTTGGTGATCCCACATAATCTGCTTACATAGATGCTGTGCCGTTGGGTATTGTCTGTAAAAGCTTGGGTGTCACTTAGGGCGGTCGCTGGAGGGGAGGACAAAATTGGGGGAGAAGTTTGTGAGTGATTATTGCCCATTTTAAATCATGAGATATCAGCACTAGGAAAGTCAGCTCACGTTCTGATTTTTTAAAAGAAGAAGGTGGTTTAAAGAAAAGTCTTGAATTTTCTTTCCACTATTTTCACAGATTTGTGTTTGGAACATAACAGCATCAGGAATCTCCTACAGGTCCACGGTCCTGTATCTGAAAACCGTGGGGCCTAATTCATATCAGAATTCAGAAATTCTAATGTTTTGGGAGAGGAAGCAGGTTTTAGCTGAATAAGGCCGTATGTATTTCATATAGTACCTGTTGTGGGGTCTCAAGCAGCCTGTTGGAATCTGTGTATGATGTTAATACCTGCTGAGATTCATTTTAAAGATTTACAGACTTGGACCAGTTCAGGGTAAGTTTCGCCTGCATAAGAGTTAGAACTTTTGGTGTTGAGAATATTGTTGGACTTGGAACCAAGGATAAAAGCATGTGACCTATAGCATTCTTCCGCTAGAAACCTGGAATGTCATTTCCCTTCATATCCACTGGTTCCTTAAGAAGGGAGAAAGGATGAGACAGAGCTGTATCTAGGGGGAAAAAAAACCCTGGGAAATTAATGAAACATGCTTTTCTGCATGAGTTTAAGTGGAATAAGGGACAAATAGCTACTTCTGTGTGTAACACAGTGTCAATACAGTGACAACTGATCATTTCTTAGCATGTTTAGAAATAAAGACAGAACAGCCCATTCGTTTTCTTTCTACTGAATTTTTTTTTCTCATGAGGTGAAATACAGTGTTTATGGAAGATGCACAGTGTAAATAAAGGTGCCAGAGGATGAATGATTACAATAGAAAGGAGGGGAACACCTAGCACTCTAGGTTTTAGTCTGTCACCCACCGTGAAGGCTGGTTTGCTCTGGAACCAGGTATTTTGAGTCTGGCTGACTGCAGGGCAGGGTTTGCATATGAGCCAGGATATGTTTGTTCCCTGCAGTCAAACTGTTGCGCCGTGTTCCCTGTGGGGGTGATAGCTTTTGTCCTCTGGGCTCTGGCTTCTCTCCTCACTGCTGCAGGTTAAATCCCCCCACGCTGTTGACAAAGGTGGGGGGAAGCCTCTGTCGACGCTGCAGCTATCGGCACATGTTGCCAATACAACTCCTTCCAAACTCCCCGCACCAGACCTGGAACTCTGTGTAATAGCCTACTTCCACCACCACGCAGTCTCCATTTTTCTAGTGGGCTAATTGAATAATTATAGTTAATAGTGATCACTGATGGTATACAGAGTGCAGTGGACCTAGCCCAGTTCTAACGGGGGCTCTGCCCATGTTGACTCATTTGATCCTTGGAACTACTCTATTCTCATCCCCCTTTGGGAGTTGGCTCTTGATTATCCCCATTCCACATTACTACTCCCACTTCAGTGGCTCAGAGAGGTGAAGTGACTTTTCCAAAGGCATACAGCAAGTGAGTGGCAGAGCCAGCATCCCAGACTGGCAGCTGTGTCCAGAGCCCCCTACTCTCAGCCCCTGGGCTGTGTGTGCCAACTGAGTGCCTGTTTTGTGCTGGGCACTTAGTAAGTGCCTCCCATTGGGTTTGATGTTCACACCACCTAAAAGCTGCCCATTACACAGATGAAGAAACCGAGGCTCAGTAAGCTTATCTGACCCAATCAGTGGTCTGGACAGGATTCAGCCCTAACTGTCTTAACTTGGAATCCCATGTCCCTAATAGGGTACAGAAACCCTCTGAACTGACGAAATATTTTCAGGATCAATATAGACTGTAAATCCAGAAAAATGAAGAAAGTATTAGTAGCTTAGTCATGTCTGACTCTTTGCAACCCATGGACTATAGCCTGCCAGGCTCCTCTATCCATAGAGTTCTCCAGGCAAGAATGCTGAAGTGGGTGGCCATTCCCTTCTCCAGGGGATTTTACCAACCCGGGGATCAAACCCAGGTCTCCTGTATTGCAGGTGGATTCATTACCATCTGAGCCACCAGGGAAGCCCTAGATCCCTCTGTAAAATAAACATCGATTCCAGGGTTGCCCGTAACCTTTCCCATATTCTTCAAGCCCACAATCCCATCCATGCAACCTCACCAAAGTAGATGGCCTAATTACAGCTTATAATAAGCTTTCAGGACACTGGGCTGGTTTCCTTACATGTGGAAAGTCCATAGTTATTTCCAGAATTAGTCAGGTATGTAATGTTTTACATTAATTTCTTTGGAAATGCCATGGCATGTGACTTCAAAATTCACATTACCCTCATTCTAAAGTTTTCTATTTCATCATGTTTTGAGCCAAGCATTCTCCAGATATGAAAATAAGTGCATGGTCTCAGATGCCAATTTCCTCCTTGGATCTGCATTTGCAAAACTCTCTGCTTTACTTCCTAGATATTTAAAGCTGGCTTTGCATTTACTGACTCATCTCTGGTGGCTTCCTTTCCCAATCAGAAAATCAAATACTGATTGCAGAGAAAATGAACAACTGGAGCATTAAAGAGGTTGTTGTGTGACCCAAAAAAACCTCAAAGCACTCTTACTTGTACTTTCCTTTTGCAAATCTTTGTGTTATCCTTTGCCCCCTTAATCCTCATTTTTCAGATATTAAAAAGATAATTCCTTATACCACCAAATTGTTTAAAAATGCTATTTGAAAAAAATAAACCAATAATGTAGCAGAAATCTGAAAATGTTTTCCAAACATTCCCATCAGGCTGAATTCTAGTTACCTGCGGCCCTTTGTATCCAAGAAGAGTAAGAGGCTTCACTGTTGTGGGCTAATACTTTCCTGAGTGGGTGCAAGATTCAGTCTCAGAACCGACCCAGTCAAGGAAAGCTGATTTTCCTCTCAAAGCCATCTGCTGAGCATATTAAGTGAAAATGTCCAGTTTGATTATGCAACGGAGAAACTGCAGACATAGAATGGACTTCAGGGGCCATTAGAATTCACTAACATACAGTGTAGTGGTGAACATGTGCTGAGGCCCTAGCGTGAATCGAGCTGGGTAGAAAGTATTTTAAAAGGTAGGTGGCAGGAAGAGTAAAGTAGAATTGGAAGGGTTTGGTGTGGATTGGAAAGGGGTAGAAGGAGTGAGGGAGGGGAGAGGGGGTGGTAAGGGTCAAGAGTGAACAGTCCTTCCTGAGCTCCACAATTTGTACAGGACTGACTTAGGGCTGTGATGCTGTTTCATGTTCACATACCTCCCCCGCCCCCAAAATAAGGAAACAGTTCCAGTCATCCAGGATGTGGGAAATACCCAAGATGGAATACACACAATAACAGCTGGCCCTAATAGCTGGCCCTAAGTAACACAAATGCTTACTGTTATCAACTGCAAGGAGTACAGCGGAAAAAATGACCTAACATAAGTGACTTCGGGAAACATTATTTTGACTGGATACTATAAGGCTAAAGACAAAAGAAATGCGAAAAAACTGTGCATAAATGCTACACTCCAGTTAGTCGGTGTTTCATACAGGAGTTTGGGTTAGTGATTCTGAAATTGCATTATGTGTGCTCTAGGATTGAACAAGTAAGTAAATATGTTGTGGCTGATGAATGTTTCTCATGGTCAGAGAAAGAGGTTACAGATTGAAAGGGCAAGACTAAGATGACTGTGATATTTAGTCAGAATTGGAGGTATTAATATGAATTCGGGCTCCCCTGGTGGCTCAGATGGTAAAGAGTCTGCCTGCAATGCAAGACACAGGTTCCTTCCCTGGGTCGGGAAGACCCCCTAGAGAAGGTAATGGCTACCCACTCCAGTATTCTGGCCTGGAGAATCCCATGGACAGAGGAGCCTGGAGGGCTACAGTCCATGGGGTTGCAAAGAGTCGGACAGGACTGAGAGACTAACACTTTACTTCAGTATGAACTCACAGCTTAACTGGATGAATGGATGGATGGATGGATGGTAGGTAGAGATGGGAACATACGTACATAAATAAACATACATGGA